CCAGGCTGAACCCCCCCAGCTCCCCCAGCCGCTCCCCAGCAGCCTGGGGCTCCAGACCCCTCCCCAGCTCCGCTGCCCTTCTCTGGACACACTCCAGCCCCCCCAGGGCCTTCTGGGAGGAAGGGGCCCAACCCTGACCCCAGCAGTCGAGGGGCGGCCCCCCCAGTGCCCAGCACAGGGGCACGGTCCCTGCCCTGCTCCTCCTCCTACTTCTCCTATTCATAACTGGCCACACTCTGTGCTATCACAAGTGAGGTCTTCAGGCCCCTGCAGATACATCCCCATGCCCTGCACTCATCTCGGTGTCCCATGGTGAAAGTGGCTTTCAAGGAGGAACCACTCATGTTAAATATGCCCTACAGGCAGCACTTCTGTGGCTATGGCTTAGTTTATCAACCAGGCAAAGACAACTGTTACATGACCCAGAGAAGACAGACACATGTGGGCACGCTCTGAGGGCAGTAAGACGCACAGACCAGCTTTCACTACCCCAGCTTCCCAAGGCTTTACAAGACTCCTTACTGACATCCCTGCTGGGACTCTGTCTTTCACCTGAGCAGTAGCTGTGCTTCCCCAGGTCTCCATCTCTCGTGACCCCTTGGGATGAGAACCCATGAAGCTTTGATGCATACCTCCAGCTTTCCAGCTGCTATCAACCAGTCCAGTTCAGCCGAGGTTGGTGGGAGAGGGAGGCAAGGAAGGGCAGGGGGAAAAGTGCTTCATGGTAGTGGCGTAAGAGCTCTACACCAGCGCCTGGCTTTTCACATAAAAAAGGTGAAATTCTGCCCTTTTCCTGGGAGCTGGCGGTTCAAAAGCAACGGGAAGACGCATCTTAATTAAACAGTTTGTCCAGGTCTGCAAACCAGTAACTTGCAGCTTTCAAAACCACAAAACAGCAATTAGTGGGAGGATTCCTGATGTCCTGGCACATAATGAAGCATGACAGTACACAAATAAAATAAGAACTAGAGAATTAATTGCAGGCTAAACAATTTAATTATGGGTCCTCAGTCAATGCCGACACACACGTAACCTCTTTCTCCTTACACCTTGGCATGAAAATAGATCAACCCGGCGGCAAAGACTCCCCGCGTGCATCTCTGACTCAAACCCAGCCCCGGAGCTGCTTCCCGGGTCTTGTGCTCGCCTCTGGTGCCCTCCCAGATATAAAAATCAAAAGAAAGCTGAAACGCTCTAAAAATATATTCCAGGAAAGGTCCAGGAAAACAATAACGAGGTCCACAGATTTCCTATGCAGAAGAAAAGTGCTCGGAAAAAAAGCCTGAGTGGAACCTCCAGACCACAATCCCTGCTACCCCCTGCTCTGCAGGCAAAGGGAAGCAGCTCTTCTTCTGGCAAAAAAAAATTTTAAAAATCCCCAACAACCTGGGGCCTTTATAAATAAACAAGCTTACATAAAAAAATTACCCTTACGTCACTGGCGATTTCTTCACAGCTAAAATAACTCATCATTTGCTGAACGTTGCAACCCTGGGCTTCAGCAAAGGCTGAGTCTGGCGCGTCCCTTCCCTCAAAGACCGAGCAGTCAGCTGCTAAACTGCAGAAGGGTTTATTTTGTGCTCCCACCAGCCAGCAGCAGCCTTAATTCTTCACACACTTGGGTCTTTTTTTAATCAGTGGCTCTTAGAAATCTGTATATTCAGAGTAGGAGCATTTCATTGCATTTTTATTGCAAAAAAAAAAAAACCCTAATGCTACTGCTTATTTGAAGATTTGATTTTACATGATTCAAAGCAGATCCTGCAAATTAAATGCTCTCGGATTTGGATGGTTGAGGACCAGTCAATGCCAATCATTTGCTAAACTGCTTGAGAGTGGAAAGTGCAGCTTGATAAAGCCTTGTGAGCTGCCTCTGCCAGCAGCTTTGCATCATTCTCCTGCTGAGATGCTGCTTTGCACCATCCCATCGCTGTCTGTCCTGAGTCAGGGACCCACCGTCGAGGGGAGTTGGTAGCGACGGCGTAAAGCAGGAAGGCAGGAGTTAGGTGCCCATCCCAGTGGCTTTTAGGCAACCGTAGGTTTACAACCAACACTTTGAATATAGAAAAAGGCGTGATTTCTTACCGACAGCGGGGAATGGCACAAACCTCTGGATCAAGAGACGAGTGGCAGGGGTAAACTTGTTTGCTCTCTGAATCAGAACATTAAGGCCCACCTTTGAATAGGAAAAAAAACAAAACAGAAGCAGAAACATTTAGCTACAAGGAGCAGGGCAGAAGTTGCAGCTTGCAGACAGCAGCAGAGCTCTTCAGGGGGACAGACTGGGGTCATTGCCCATGCAGAAGCGTTTGAGAACTAACCTCCCACACACACTGCAGGCTTTAGCTGTGTTGGGTTCAACCCTTTATTCAACGAAGGGTTGAACCCAACCGTTGGGGTTCACCCAAGCATTGAGTTTAAACGAAGGGTTGAACTCAACCATTGGGTTTAAATGGAAGCTTGAACTCAACCGTTGGGTTTAAATGAAGGGTTGAACTCAACCGTTGGGTTTCACCCAAGCGTTGAGTTTAAATGAAGGGTTGAACTCAAGCGTTGGGTTTAAATGGAGGCTTGAACTCAACCGTTGGGTTTAAATGAAGGGTTGAACCCAACTGTTGGGTTTAAACCCTTTCCAGCCAAAAGACAGGCTAGAAACCACTGCAATACCACTCGGTCCATCTGGCAATGCCCCTAGCTGCATTTTTACCCAATTCACTGGCATTTTCCCTACCCAGCACAAAATCATTAGGGCTGGGAGTCATCACCTGGCTAGGAAAAAGCCAAATATCATTGGTGGTGGTTGGCCCGACACAAGTCATTCCTCCTCCCAGGGTCTGTACAAACTACACCACCCCACTCCATTGCAAACATTCGGGCTCTAAAGGAGCTATTAATAGAAACAAGAAGTAGCAAGGCAGTTTATTATAACCATGGATCATTTTTTTGTTGCCTCCTCCAACACTTGAATAATGCAGAGCTCTCCGCAGTTCTGCAGGGATCTAAGTCATTGCGTATGTTAATATAAACAGCACGGAGGAGAGTTGCTGCCTCGTCAGCCTCAGTGTGGTTGGATGGTAGTGGTAGTCGGAGAATTTCCATCAAAATTTGTTTCAGGCAGAACTGTGGTTATTAATTAAACAAACCTATTCGCAGGGACTGACTTCTGTCTTCAAATTACTCTCCCCTACAATATTTTCTCTTTTTCATCCAAAAAACCCCAAATGCACAAACAAAACCCAACAGCCTCAAACTGGGAATTCGAGGCCGAAAATGGAAGTCTTCAGCAATGCTCGGCCAAAAAGTTTTCAGCCAAAAATGCAGCAAAATTAAAAAAAAAAAAAAAAAAAAAAAATCAATCAAAGCCAAAAATCTGCCAGCAAATAGTGATTTGGGGGCTTTAAAAAAAAAGAAAAAAGAAAAAAGAAAATAGAAGAAAAGAAAAGAAAAGAATGACATGGGAGAACATATTTTGCAAGCTGCTACATTATACATGCATCCGCAGTGCATCTCGGCTTTTTGGAGGCTGAAAGGAAGATGTTGAGAAGCACAACTGCTGGGTAAGCCCTGCATAAGCAGAGTGCTGGTTTTCAAAACCCGTGGAGCATTTCCAGAGCCCCACGAGGCTTTCACCAAGACCCCAAGCAGGAACCCTTCCTCCGCTCCTCAGCCACCGCGACTCTAGCACGGAGCCCAAGAGAACCACGGTGGTTCTTCTTAGTCTGGGCAAGAGCGAGGGTTCTGTCTTCATCTTTTTCCCCCCTCAAAAGTGACTGAACGATTTTTTTATTTTACATTTTCCAAGTGCTGGGATGCATATTTGCAAAATCTGAATGCTTCCAGAAACTGTAAAGCAGTCTAAAATGGGTGGCTTTAAAAGTAAGAGAGTCTTAAGCCTGGCTTTGCTAGTACTGCTCCATGGCTTTGGGTATTTAAAGCTTGGATGCAGTTCATCTGTATAGATGACAAATTTTGTTGGGTTTGCAGCCTCTGCTTGTAGGTTTGATGGAAGGATTTGACCGTGAAGTGGAAGAGCAGCAGCTTTTGAAACAGAAAAGATGAGTCTGGGAGAGACACCGCTGTGCGGCTAGTGGTAATAAAAGCATTTTACTTTCAGATTCAATTTGGTGTCGCAGATGAACTCGCTCCTCCACTTACAGCAACCACCCCGCTGTGAATATGAAATTAAATGTTGTTATAGATTTAAATCCATTCTCCCAAATTCCCAACACGAGGACGAGATTTAGGAAACTAATGAGGGTTTGTTTTTTACAGTTTTGAAATTGCTTCAGCCGATCTGTGA